TTCCTACTTGAATAAATATCAACATAGCAATTTAGTAACCAGAGCTCCATAGTAACTGTAAGTAGTTCCCTCTCATTCTGCCATTAATTCCTTTCCGTCATGATAGTTTTCAAGGAGTAGTTTGAAAATCAATCAGACAAGCTCAAGGACAGAAATCAGCTGATCAAGAAATATGAAATAAAAATGAAGACTGATGAGATGTAAAAGGATATGCATGCACTCCAGAGAGAGATAATGCTCAGGCGTCTGTTCAAGTCTGAACCAGCAGGCTATTCCTAAGCTTCTTCACAAAGAAAAGATTAAGATAAATGTGTGGAGACATTTTTAAAACTCTTGTCTTCTTTTATTATGTTTTCTTCCAGCTGGTAAGAGAAAAATATAATTTGGTGATGAGGCAATGTTCATCGTGCTTTTATCACTGCTTACAAGGAAATGGAAAAATAGTTGATACTAAATGCTTTGACAGCTGAAACCAGCACAAGGGCTTGACTTAGGAGAAGAAGGATAGCATAATTCTGCTGAAGGGATGAAAAAGCAGGAAGTCCTAACACAGAGAATGTGGTACAAGAAAAGGTGAATCAAGCCTTTTAAAATGATAATCCATGGCTCAATATCAGCAATTAGGGCAGTGAGCACAGTTTTATGTATATTTACACAATATTCACTGAGACTCCAGACAGCTCAGTATAAGTAGCGTAAGAGCTCATTAGTGGACCATTTTGTCCAGGGTACTTCATCTGCTTCACAGCTGATCGGTAAAGGTGAAGCATCATCCTAAGGAAGGTATATCTCTCCCTTTTATGAAGATAAATCACTCAAGAGTAAACTGCTTTATGATAGACAGACATATTGACAGCAAACAGACCTTACTACACAGAGAAATACTTCAATGTTCAGGGAATAACTTGAAATCCAGTAAATTGGGTGGAAAATTATTGGATAACAACATTTAAGGGGTTTAGCCTCCATATTTTTTTTTCCAGAAAAGATTCATGAAGACATGGATGTTTAAAATCATACATAAGAGAAAATTATAATACAATCATGAGGAAAGCCAGATGAAGGTTAATTTTTAAATTCCTTAATTGGAAGACCTATGTAAATCAAATATATTTGGCATTTTTAATATTATGAAAGAGATTTTCTTCATATTGCCTATGCAGAATGCAAAGTATCCTCCAGTTACCAACACATCACATTTTGCAGAGACCAAAAACCAGAAACAGCTGTTTCATATACACAGACTAATGAAAGTGAAGGGACAATATGTGTCTACGAAGTTGGCATACAACACTGTAAGAAATAGAGTGTTTCTTAAAAATGAAACAATGGTTTGCGCTAACAGACAGAAGTGAAAAGAAATTCCGCTAATCAGGATTTTTCATTATACAGATCAGAAAATGTTATGTACTTGACAGAACACCAAAAAGGATTTGATGCATTTTACTCCAGTTTTTGTTTTCCTTCAATCACATGTAAACTGTGAATTTAACTGTGATTCTAAGTGAAAAAAAAAAACAAACAAAAACACCAACAAGTAAAGGCAGAGGTAAAAAAGGGAAGATATTGGAATTGGAATGCAACAAGACATCAGATGACATAAGACACTGCTAGCAGTGACACAAAGACATTGCTAGCTAGCATCAGAAACTGATCTATTATGGTTGCCACAAGAGAGAAAAAAAAAAGCTATATGACTTTCTCAGTTCACAGAAGAGTAATAGGCTTAGTGTCAAGCAGACTGAGTTTATCTGTCAGTCATCAGCCTGTAGGACAAAGAAAGGCACTTTCAGAGACTAACCACCTTAACTACTTAGATTCAACAATCACAACAAGCAAGCTTAAGATGTTTTCATATATATGGAGAAAACACAGTCTGTTAGAATTCCACACAAAAAATAATAATTAAAGAAAACACTGTGTGCAACACTTATGTACATTCACAATGCAAAATCTGTAATGTCTACATAAATAGATGACTCATCGTTTTGGGGGGGGGGGCGGACTACAAGAGGAAAATTACATAGAAAAGCCCTCCAGCTAACGAATAAATCTCTCTCCTAGCTTTTTGTCTTGTTGAGTATGCAAAGATTCTAGCTCTTTATATCTGGCTCTCAAATGGGAAGGAAAATCCAATGCTCTTTCAAATAAAGGAAAAGACTAATAAAGATCTATATTACATTTTTTCCCCATTTATGCCCCGTATGTTACTCTATAACAGTCTTTTCAGCAATTTAGTCTTAAAGACTCTTGAACCTTTTACTAATTTCTTCCTCTTTCCTTAAATAGGACCACACCACTTATTAATGGGTGAAATCCAAGTACCACAACAGAACTGTACTTTCCATTTTCAATGTACTGAGATCTTACATTCCAACACTGTTTGGAAGACACAGTAAAACAATAAAATCACGAAACATTTGACACAAAAATGGGAGGTTTAAATCTAAAAATAAATATTCTTCACTGAGTATTCTGATGAGCTGTAATTATGAAACACCATATCATAAAAGACATGCTAAGTACTGCTCCAAACATAGATACACCTTATTATGAAACACATAATAACTATTATGAAACACTAGTAGTTAAACATTCATTATGGAAGGATTGTTGTGAAATAGACATCTTCTTAATAAGACACTCTAGGTGGAACCTATTAATTTAGTGGCATACGGTCCAACAGTTTCACGACACCAGGACTGAAAAATACATCATCAGCTGTGCAATACCTAACTTCTAAACTGTACTGAAAATACATAGGCAGCACTATGCTGCAAAGTCCTCTTCACTGCCATATTTAAGTTAGAAGTTTGTCCCTTTACATGACAGTTACATTTTGTGAATTATATTAGCAAAAGTCTCTTTTACTTTTGAATAATATTCTTTTATCTCTTTGTTATTCAGCGGGAGATTACATTTTTAACTTAGACCTGTTTCCCTATATGAAGTATAGTGTTAGAAAATGCTATCACATACTATTAAGTCATTCTGCATCATGAATAAATTCTGTAGATTTTCTTACATAATCCTAAATCTTTTATTTCTAAGTGTTATCAGTATTTGATTGTACAAGTTAAGAGGTATCAAAAATCTCTAGAACTGAAGGCTGATATAAACTTAGCCACAATAAAGGTGTTTTGTACAACTCTACAAAAGACCAAACTCCTCTGCTCAGTATAAAATGTATTTCATGTTGCCTAACTATGAAGACAATAGGGAATTTATGGTGCTGGTCACAAAGACAGACAAGAGAAAAAAGTTCAGCAATACTGGTCTAATATGTGGTGCTTCTGTTTAAAAATAAACATTCTTTCCAGTTCTGTTAGTGAGATCAAGTGACTGAATAGCTTAATTTAAAAAAGGCTTCAAGAAAACGTATCTTTCCTACAAAATAAGACAAGACACATTTTCAAAGCATAAGAATCAGCCATACAACTACTAACATTACTGGGAGCTGCCTGTCAAAAGCACTACGAATCATGCTGAAAATGTCCTTCAGTGATAACAATAGGGTTAAAATTTTTGGACGTAAACATAAATATTTTAGATGAGGTGTTTCACAAGATAACATTTGTGATTTATGCTCAACTGTACTTTCAGAAGTACCTATATCACAGGAATACCTCAGTAATGAGTTTACTCTCTGGTTATATAGTCTAAAATCTACTGTTCTTTCAAGAAACTTTCAACATAAGTCTGGCTCTTTAAAGCAGACTTTTAAAGAAGGCGCACAAGTGAAGTTACTCATTACAGAGTATGTTTCAGTGTTATCTATATTACTTCAATACCTCGTGTACTTTATGTACAGGTGATCTTGCTAAATTACTTTTAAACCCGTTTCTAAAAATATTACCTCTCCCTTTCATAGATGAATGATACAGCTTCTCCAAAATGAAGTGGATAGTATAAAAGAAAGATGGAGAACCCTGATATCAACTACAGCACACTAGAAAAAGAAAAATATGAAGGTTCTGTTGTGTACCACAGAATGAAATTATAAAAATCTTGGGGCTGAATTGAGATTGCATTATCAACTCAAACATATGCTTCTAAAAACCAAAATATTAAAGGGATAAATGCCAATATAATTTATATGTATTTGATTAAAAAAAATATTTAAAAATTACTACTATGAGGAATCTGCAAAAGAGACTATGTTTATACCCTGGGAATTGCTGATTTACTGTTCTGAATTTTTTTTTTTGCTGTCACAGCAAAAGTCAAAGTTACAACATGTAAGACACTAGTTCTGTGAGCAGCTGGAGTCAGTCCTAATTACTTAACAAAGAAAAGGTAAATATAATGGGATTTTTTGACAGAAGACATTTTCCTGCTTATCTGTGTTGAAGAAAACAGATAAAAAAAGTGAGCCCTATGTATGAAATCAATTTATAATGTAACAATTGTTATAGAGTTCCTTAACTCCAAAGCTCAACTAAACATGCTTCTAAATACATTCCAATGCAGGACTTTAAATTATATGAAGTTCTCTCAAGTGTTTTACCTAGCACACAATTAAAAACTAAAAATTGTTATCCTACTTCTAAGATACTAATCTACATAAAGTAACTTGTTTTGTAACCTGTAGAGTCCCAATTTGGACATCTAAGATTAACATGGGCAGCTAAGTACTCCATTTGAGATTAAGCACCATAGCATCAAATGAAGTCATACTAACAAAATAAAATATGTCAACCCTGTCTTTCTAAACACAGCACAATTGGGAAAAGACATTTCATAAACTTTCTAGTGTCTCTAAATTGGTAAATAAAAGGATAAATCTAGCTAGCATACTCAAGACTTAGTGACATAACAAACTGGAGGCTTAGTATGGCAGTGGAGAAAATTAATAGTGAGAACCCTCCTCATTAATTATTCTTCTGTACATCATGAAGTTAAAATATAAAAGTAAGAAAATTTTTGTGACTTTTGACAATTATTAGTAAAAAAAAAGATGATAACAATTGCCAAAAAAATCACAAAAGTTGACATGTTACCTGGCTATGACAAAGAGCACACAACTGACACCCAAGTAAGCCAGCAGAATATACATCCAGATATCAGGGGAGAGAGGATTCAGGAAGGAGAAGACGCCCGGGTTTGTACCATTGGGCTTGCGGTACAAAATACTTATTCCAAGAGTCATAAAGGGCTTGGAAAAGTCGATGACCTTCTCTCGAACATAGGTAATTGCCAATGGCGCAACCGCAAGGTCAGCTTTCTGTTAACAGAAATACAAAAAGAGAAAAAAGCCATAAGTCAGAAGAAACAGGTTGAAGCAGACAGTCAGATTAGGCAAAACACAAAATTTACATGGAGGAGGTTTGTTCTTGTACTAGGTAGGCTGAAATTTAAAACTCTTATCCCTATAAGTAAGTAAACAGATTTACTCTACTTCCTGTTTGCTAAACTGACATAACTGCATTTAGAGAAAATTGAAAGTGTTATTACAGGGATAGAAGCAAAGAAAAATATTGCATCTTGCAGAAAGCATGAACATCCATTATCACATCTTTCAAAATTGTACGTATCAATGTATGCCTTCTCTTTGTTACTCCTTCACTGTGCTCTTTAGAAGCTAATATATTTGTGAAGCAGATGTGAATATGCTGGTAAAACTGTGCGGAAAGGGCCATGAAGCGGTTTTGCTTATTTTCGCATAAAAGTATTGATACAAAATGAAGAACATTTTAAAATGGGGAGTGCTACATCTGAAATGTTGCTACAGAGAGTAAGTTCTAACAAAATACAACTGGTTTTACTAGTTTTCAGAAATTGCTATGAAACTTGCAGATAACTAACCCTTGATCAATTGCAGCATTTAAAACCAAATCATAGAATAGAATATATTTTGTCAATTTACATTTAGCTTCAGTTATTGTGACAGTAACTTATAGGAGATTAGTAAATGTTCTATATGATTTTTTATTCAAAACTTAATGGAAAACAGTCACAAGAAATCTATAGCATCTACTTCTAATCTCAGTCCACAGCTCTTGTAAGACTACTGTGCATGTGTGTATGTGTACGTGTGTGTGCATGTACATGTACACGTATGAAAGACGGAAGTTCAGAGTAAGAAGTTACACAATGCAAGACTTGGCAAGCTGAAAACTAAGAGTTCCCTGTAAATTATACATAAATATAGGTATGTAATGACAGAAATTATATAGCTACTGTGAAATACTGTTATCCACGGAACATAGCTGCATATAATACCATTTTCAGAAAGCCTGTTCTACACCAAGATGCAGAGATGTTTCTCCCAATAAAATAATATAAATTCATACATCTATATATTATATTTTGCCTATTTGGTATTGTCTATACTGTGTAAAACTCAAAATCCCACACAATGTTATAGCATTTCAATGTTCCTTTTTTTTGGTTATCTCACCTTTCACAAAGTTCTACTATAGTTTATTGTTGTTACAAGCATTTACCATATAACTAGATCTACTGTAGTACTTCTATGTTACAATGTGAAACTCTGTTGGCACTGTTCATTTAATTCGGTAAGGGTTTACTGATCAAAAACATGACATCAGCTTCATTTTCATCAGTATTGTGAACTTACAGGTATTAATCAGGCCAACAAGGCTTTCTTCACACCAGCTGAGTTTTTATGGATTGCATACTATTGATGGTATTCCAGCTGGTGCAGAAAGAAAACAGTAAAGTAAAAAGCTAAAAATAATTTGGATTAAAAATTATAGGTCAACATGTAGAAGTATGAGAAACATGACAACTGACGCTATTAGTTTGAGAGGTGACTAGCAGTCCTTATCCTAAGAGTCTGAAGACAACTCACTAGAGACTGTCAGAAGACATAGCTGCCAAAAGATCACAGAATGGTGGGGTTTGGAAGGGACCTTCGGAGATCATTTAGTCTAACACCCCTTCCAAAGCAGATTCGCCTAAAGTGGGTTGAACAGGAATGCATTCAGATGGGAATTGAATTTCTTCAGAGAAGAATTAAGTTACTTTGATAGAAATTGTTTTTCATGTTTTTCTACTACCTTTCATGGGATTATAGGACAATCCAGGTGGGAAGAGACATCAGGAAGTCTCTAGTCCAATCTCCTGTTCAAAGCAAGGTCAACTACACGATCAGATCAGATTGCTCTGGGCTTTGCCCAGTCAGTTTTGAAAACCTCCAAGGATGGAGACTATCTCTGGATAACCTCTTCCACTGCGCGACTGTCCACATAGTGAAAAAGTTTCTACAGGCAAGCAGTGGAGCAGGTTGTTTAGAGAGGTTATGCAATTTTTATCCTTGGAGCTTTTCAGTTTATGCCTGCTGTCTTTTGTCTTCCTGCTGGTCACCACTGTGAAGAGCACAGACACATCTTGATAACCTCCTCACAGGTCCTAGAAAGCTGTTCCTAGAAATTGTTACCTTTGCCAAATGTGAGATACTATAAAGTTCAAAACAAGTCCAGACTAGATAGCTCAGTTTAGATGCCATGCCTTCTTATTTGTGGGATCCTGACTTGTGTTATTTAAGATGAATTGCTAATAATATCATACATAGATGAAACTTTAGCAGTTGTTATTTTATTAATGTAATAAAGTAACATATGACAGTCGCTCACGTTACACATTTGCTTCTAACTTCTGAGTTGCTTCTCAATATTTACTGAGCAACAATACTGAGCAACAAAAAGTTACTGAAAGGCAGTTTACTCAGTTTCATTTTACTGACAGTAATATTTCATAGCTGTTTCATTTCTTTAGGCATACTTATGTCAGCATGGCTAATACTTTTCTTGGGAAAGTTTTGTAAAGCAGTGGTAACTTGTGGTTGTGTCAACTACAGGCCCTCAAGTCTTTAAAGGAAGGTCGTGAGCCAGTAACGAGCAAGTTCAACTCCCTAGAGATCTAGATGGCAAAAAAAAAAAAAAAAAGTGAAAGGTTCTGCAGAGGAAATTTGCCTGCTGTCCACTACTACAGAAATAACTCCTACATTAGTTCAACTAGCCAAAAACATTTGGAATCCTTTCTATTGTGGCTTTTAAATAGGATGGACAATATCTTTTGATCAACCTAGCAGTATTTAGAACTGACTTTTGGTATTGTTTTCTGTTTGCTCCTTTATTATTCTCTGAATGCTTAGTCAAGGAAAAATACTACTATTAAAACCATCAGGAATTTACATTATTTCTTTTTATTCAAGTTTAGTAAACCTAGGAAGATTTTCTAGTCTGTTTTCGTTTAGCTATGTCAGCATGGATTAGATTTAATAGCTGAATAGATGTAATATGAGTAGCCATTCAAAATAGTCACAAAGTTTTATCTGATGATTCATAGGACACTGTTTCACTAAAGTATTTTGCACCAACTTTGTTTTAATCAAGTTACACAAATTGTATGCAAGAGCACTAGAGGCAGTGGACACGAAACTGAACTTAGCAAGAAGATGGATGACAATAAGTTACAACAATAAGAAAATTTCAGCCTTAATTCTTATCACTTCACCCCGGCAGAGTTATCTACAAAGGGTTCTTCTAATGGTTAGAAGAGCAAGATTCACAAACCCACAGAAAGGGCAAACTGACAAAGACAATATTTAAAAGACATTGTAGATATTGTGGCTCAGGGTTCAGGAAAGGGAGACTGCCACCTTAATAAACAAACAAACAAACAAATAAATAAATAAAATGTATAAGATCACTTAAATGAATTAAAATGTTACAGTTCTTCTTTACAGTTATCACACTCTTTTTTTTCCAAAATTGTACTTTTGTACCAGAGATCGTTACTAAACCTGAAAGCTACTAGAAACCATGCTCCAGTGCAGCTTCCTGAAGTAAAATACAGAGGTAACATTGATTACATTTTTGTAGCTAGCATTTTTGTCTTTATACTTTCTGGGTTTACTGCAACTCCCTGAAAGTGTTTTTTTCATTGGTAACCAGCTATGTCACCTAGACTTTCAGTTACTGCACACAGGACAAAAATAATTCCATACGTTTTCATTTTGACATAAAATCTGTTCTCAGATATATGGGTTTTTATCAAATTGTTTCAGTGAAATCATTTCATCATGCAATCAAGTTTGACTTGTGTCAAATTTGACTTGGTCCCACTTTTCTGTATCATTCTCACCTGCAATTTTTTACAAGGGACTCAAAATGATTAATAACATTTTTGCATATCATTTGGATGGGAGTAGATCACTGCAGGATACACTGACTCTTACTGACTAACAATTCTCATTTGACAACTTTTTGAAATTTATCATTTCATCAGCTTAATTAATTAATGGGATAAACCCCATTAAAATAGACAAAATCATCCTCCTGTACACTCATCACCTCCAGGTGAATTTTGATGCAGCCAGCACAAGGAGTAGACTTTATTTTACAAAGAATCCACACACTGACATTCTCAATGAATTGTTAAATTCAAGTGTCTGAGGCTTTAATTAAATTTGATCATAATAATAAAAAATAACAAAAAATGGTCTTTTTAGAAAAACCCATCATATGTGAAATAAAACCGGAAGTGTTTTTATACTGTGTATATTCTCAAAACATTACATATCATGCCGTGGTTTACATGTGCCATAATTATAAAAGAATGGCTAACACAGTACATATTACCCAAAAATATTGTCACAAATCTAAGGAAGAAAAATGTTAGCAGTGTTTTTATGCACTAGATCCTACTTTAGTTCTGTTCTGCCTAGGGTATATGTAAGCTAACTCATTTGAAAAATTTTTTACATTTATTTAAATTCAATAAAACTTATCCAAGCTTTAGGCATTATTTAAATACTGACAATACCAGGATAAACTTATTAACAATCAGCTTTAATAAAAATTAAATGCAAATCCTAAGGATGAAATCTGTGGTGGTTGAGTTAAAATATTTCTGATATAAGATGAAATCTATGAAACACTTAAAAATATCATTACTGTTATAATTTATTCCTTGCATTATATGAAGTTCTGTTTCATTCTGGGGCACAAATAAAGAACATGAACACAAATGTAATAAGAAAAAACAATGATTGGCATGAAAGGCAGATGCAGACATATTCCTAGTGTAACTACTGCCCAACTAGAAAGTGCATAGATAGTTAAGTAACAACATTTACAGATGACTCTAAGTTATTCCAAGTAGAAAGACTACAAAAGAATTGCTTTATGTCAACTTGCACAAAAAGAAGTGGAGGACAGTAAATAAAATGAGCTCAGAACAAGAAACAATGAAACG